GGTAAAGTCGGTAGCGGTTTCGACGTGAGCTCTGCTGTTTACAGAAGTCAAAAGTATATCAGGTTTTCGCCTGAAGTACTTTCTTCTGCTCAGGTATTTGGCTTTCTTGTCCTGGAAATGTTGTTATGTGGGGTTCTGTATAAATGCATGTCCGTGAACACAAAAACAACAGTTTTTTTATGACAAAACTTGGGCCTCTTTCTTCCTAATCACAAATTCAAAGGACCATATTTTTAGGAATCTGTTCCTTGTTTTAAATGTACATAAGGGTGTGCATGCACTCATACGTAGTGGGGCTCATCCAAATATTTTATTAACTGGCACCACTCCATGTGAGTATACATTCACCATTATGTACACTTTAGTTATGTGAAGTAGCAAATTTCATTTTATATGTCTATTTTTATCAGAACAGTGGAGGTTGTGCTAATGTCGGGACATGCTTGCTTTATTTTTTGTGTTCGTCTCCTGGAAAAATGATTGCTGATGATTGCAGGATGTTGCTCGAGGGCTTTCAATACAAGAGGTCATTGGAGATGTGCTAAAAGCCAACTTGGATCACAAGAGAACGAATTTTCAGTTGCCACCAATGATGATGTCACTAGTGAGTCTGATAAAGCATAACCGATTTGATGATAGTCTAATCAAGTGCTTTTATCTTAGTTTCGAAATGTTTCAGTTACATCCGGACCAATCTTCATTAACTAATGTCCTGTGCTGAGGTTCTTCGTATTTTAAATTCCAGCCAAGGGTCTCAGTAATATTTTGATATGAATCTATAAAATCATGATTTTGGGCAGTGTGCCATGAACACAAAAATGTGTGCATTGAATATATTCCTGCCTTTCTCTCCATTAGGGTACCAGACTTTCTTAAATAATAGGGCCTTATTCAAGATCTTCTGAAACAATAAAGTCTCAAGCCTCTGTCCGATCAAACACAATCAGGTTGTAATTAATCCAAAAGTGATGAGTTTCCTTTTCTTGATAAACCGAGTAATTCTGTAATCAATATTATCCAATGTCGAGGCATATTTATCCCATTAGAACTTTCACGATCCCATTTCTGTATTATATGTTAAGAGTTTCCCGCTCCTGTTCCCATCTTAGAAAAGTGCAGAAAAGAAAGGTAAATTGGGAGAGAAAAGACAAAAAAAAAAAAGAAAAAAAAAGATTTTGAAACCTAGGATTTAGATATCTGGTGTTCACGTCTAAAACATTTTCTCTCGTACTTAGTCGAGCGTGGTGCATGTGCAGGTACTTGGAGAACCAGGAACAGGGGGATCCTCAACACCATCAATGGTTGGTGCTGTTAAGAAGTGGCAAAAATCTGATCCTCAAGGCTCGTTCAAAACATGGACGAAGTTGTCGGAAGCAAATTCAGCTCTTGAAATGCACCTCAACAACTTAAGCGAATTTTCAGAAACAAATTCTGATGCTTATAGAATAACCATTGACAAATGCAGCAAACTTACGTCTGAAAAGGTAAGCCAAAATTTGTTCCACCCATATATTCTTGTCGTATGTGATTATAAGTTTTACAACTCTATCAAATGAGTTCTCTAATTACATTTTTTAACAGTGGGCAGAGGGAGCTGTGGGGCCATACCAAATAGAAGTGATTAAAGCACTCTTAGGAGCTAGAGATTCCATGTTGTCAATCCAGACTACTATGCACAAGATAGGCGAGGCTGCCGGAATTCCCGTAAGTTCTTTTTGATTAATCTCAAAGCGTGTTTCACACTTGATTTGTGTGTATCTACGTGCGTCCAATAAACTAGTATCAGAAATAACTAATTGAAATGAGAATTTTGTAACCTCTGCATATATTTATTCCATAAAACTACTTGTGATTGTAAATTGATGTTCTTAGGGACATGACTGATTGATATTCTCAAGCAAGAAATTTAGGGCGTGCTAGTGTACAAATATATCCGCTCAAAATGACTTTTTTTGTTAACCAGATCTAATTTTGAAAAAAATATATGGTTAGTTGTTAGTGTTATTTTATACTAAAATAATACTTAAAATAAAACAATAAAAATTGATTTGATGTAAAAGTAAGAGAGGGATGATGTGAAGTGATGGTTAGTTAAAATTATGTGAGTGGATGAATAGTGAATCAAAATGGATGTGATGTATAAGAATTGCTTGTTTGGTACTATTTAATTATAATAATAATATTGAAGATAGTGAAGTTGGGGTAGAGTTAGAGTTAGATTTTGAGTATGAATTGGATAAATTTATAAACAAACACACCCTTTAAGAGGATTGATCGACTGTCTTTTTTTCTCCGTAGATGAAACCTTTTTACCTTGAGCAAAATTCTGGACTCTCCTTTGCAGTTAGCATTTGATTTCTTACAGTTCTTGTTACTATTTTTGCTGTATTTATTAACTTTACACCGTCAACAATTTCACTGTTGCCTTATCTTTTTCAATATTTGACTCTTCAGAAAAGTGTAAGTACCGTTAATCAACTCATTCATTTTGCAATATTTTAACATAATAATTTTAATAATTTTGTATAGTTCAAGAACCAAACTACAATACCTATTTAAGCCCATTCATTATTTCCTTTTTTTGTGGTTTTTTTTTCTTGATCATGCATACCCTTTTTGCAGATAGAGCCCGAATAACAAACCAGTCTGCTAGATACCACGATGAATACAAAAGGAGTTCTATTGGCTGGTATTCCTGGTGCAGGTGGATTTGACGCGGTGTTTGCCATTACCTTGGGAGCTTCAAGCAGCAATGTCGTGAAGGTTTGGAGTTCGCTCAATGTTCTGGCCTTGCTAGTGAGAGAAAATCCACGTGGCGTTCATCTAGAGGCCAACGATCCACGAACTACCAAGATTACTGACTCGGTTTCTAACATTCATATTGGGTAAGCTCGTAGTTTATGCTGCTACTTGTGTTTTAGCAATTGAATTTGAATAAAATAATTGTATTTTTCTGACACATTCAGATAAAAAAAAGTTTGTGAGTGATGTTTACTAAAAGGAAACTATTTACTAAAAATAAGGAAATAAAACTGGCCTGTTGTATTTTCTTTTTGAAATGCTTTTGCAATCTAGGCATTGAATGGTGTTGGAGCTGAAAGATATTCAGGAGTTTTTGTTCATGGATCAGTATTCTTCAATTTAGTATCTATGTTTTACTTGTTTTATTTACTGCTTATTTTCAAGACCTTGAATTGTACCTTGGATTTCTTGGGGTTCCTTTTTATGTTGGTACAAATTCCAAAATGGACTTGCTTTTAGAAAATAATAAGCTGATTGTTAGTCGGACCCGACGGTTGTCGATAGGCAATCTTCATATAGTTTCATGTTGAAGTGAATACCCAACGGCCAACGGTTGTTTGATAGACAATCGTACTTTTGCAACAGATTCGTATATTTTCATATTGAAATGTTTTGTTTTGAATAATAACATTGCACAAATGTGTGATTGCATTTTTTCATGTTGAAATATATATTTTTTTTATTAAATAACATTAACCAAATATGACATTTATGAAATAAATTGACCTTTTATTCAAAAAAATTGTAAGTGTGCGGTCTAAAGATTGTGTAGTCTAACAAGGCTTGTATTTAAGAAACACTTTCATGAATTGGAATTTTTATCAGCTTTGATTGAAAGTCTGAAACTTGTTTGAATTATTGAGTGTCCAGCTTGGCAACTCAAAGGATGAGTCATATATGCATGTTGTATTTATATAAATCGTCATAAATATTTACCACGTAAATATATAAACATTACTTTATCTAAATTAAAAAAATATTCTTTGTATATATGTGTTCGGGTCAAACGGGATGACCAAACATAGTCAATGTCTGGGCCTACCGGGTTGCTTTTTAACCAATCTGAAAGGCCCCACCCGTGCCGGGTCCACCTCCGGCTAGATTCTTGCCGGTCGGTCTAAGTAAAAATACACTAATTTTTAGCAAAAAAATAGATACAAAAAATATCAATGATGCCAAAGTTTCACAGAAGGTAACACTATAAAATTATTATTTATAGATTTTGAATATGATGTGATGTGGAAAATAGCAAATTTATATATATAAGTTATATCAAATTTTATGTTATTTTGTTTGCTACTGTAACATGACCGTTTTCTATTTTCACAGTGACATAGTTTGGTAGCAGTTGTCCACCAAAAATTTGGACACAAATAACCATTCCATTTATTTCAAATGCAGCAGTTGTCCACCAAAAATTTGGACACAAATAACCATTCCATTTATTTCAAATGCAGCTGTTTCAGTAGTTAGCAAAAGCACAAAATTGACAGAGAAAATTAGGTGACATTTCCAACATTTATATGCCATTGGTTTCAAGAATTTTTAAATTTTGTTGGTAGTTAATATTTATCTTATTGAAATTGAAAATAAAAAGTAATTTATTTTTTTAAATACTATTCATTTCATTTCATTTTTTTTTCTATACAAATCCCACTATCCCAATTAAGAAATATAAAATAATAATTATATACATATTTCTAATAAAATATACTATTCGTCCATTCACACATTTCTAAATCCATCGATTTTATTATTTTTATATCATATCAATTCTCGTTATTACATTTTTATCTTGTATATATTCACAATATCGAACTTATCTTTCTTTTTTCCTATTTTACTTTTTCGTCTCACTTTTTTCCGGATGCGAATTTTTTCCGGAGAACATCGTTGTGTTCTATTATGAAAAAATAAATAAATAAATAAATAAAATAAGGTTCTCATGTTAAATGTAGAATGAGATGCTGAGAGCATGATTGGATACAAAATTTTTCAAAAAAATCTAAACATTTTTAACTCCACCATTTTTTTAACTCAACTCTACTATCATCAATATTATCAATATAATTATCAATCAATCATTCATAGACAGCACATCAACCTTCAATCACTATTCATCTACTCACATTATTTTAACTAACCATCACTTCAAGTTTTCTATTTTACATCAAATCAACTTTAATCATTTTATTTTAAATAATATTTTAATATACCCACTAACAGCTAATCATACTAACTTTTTCAAAAATAAGCAAACCAAACAAAAAAATCAAAACAAAACCAAATTTTTTTATATCCAATCAGACTGTTTTATTTTATATACCAATAAATTGTGCTAATCCAATTCATTTTTCAACTCTCAATTTTTTTTTTATAAACACTCGTGGATGAAAGAACAAAAAAGATATTATGGGCGTGATAAGCCTTTAAATCAATGGCAATAATTGCTTTTTATAAAGGTTGTCTATTGTATAAGGTGAGGCTTTAATTATGTGATTCTAAACATGTTTTCCCCACATAACTTTTTATCTAACTTTTTTCCTTTGACATTGGAGCATAAATTTACTATACATACAGTGTAGGTTATTGCTCCCCTATTCACCGTGCGCACATATTAATATGCTCACCGTGGGTAGGGGTACATTACTGTACAGGATAATGCGTACCTTATATTTATTTATTGTATTCAATAGGTATATGAATGTGTAGATTTGTAATTGTTCATTATGTTTATTAGGGTGTGATATTTTATGATTTCAACTCA